GGGGTGTGTGGTGTGGGGTGTGGGTGTGGGTGTGTGGGTGTGGATGTGGGTGTGGGGTGTGGGGTGTGGGTGGGTGGGTGTGGGTGGGTGTGGGTATTACGTTTAACAACACCCACACCCACACCGACACCGACACCCTATTGATGATTTTTATAAGGCAACAAAAATCGTACAAGTCGTTTCTGCTCTATGTAATTTGAACTTAAGAAAACATCCTATTCGTAAATAAATAATATGATAACTTGTATTTTCTGATTAACTACTGGATAATGAAACTGTTATTGATGTGTCATGTTGTTTCAGATTTTGTTAGTAGTGAATGGTGTACGTTAACAAATACGATGTGAAGTACGTTTAGCACATTGATCATAAGGACGTCCTTAGTAACCCTTATTTCTACTAATATATAGATCTCAAATAGTCACCGATCAGCAGCATTATATAAGAGGTATAAGTGATAAAAAGATCACATTTTTCTGATAAGTGGTTGAAGTTACATACATAAATGAGTGTTGAGGTATCCTGCCAGTTGATCTCACCCATAAAATTGTGTCCTAACACTTAAGGACGTCTGGTATATAATCTGATACACCTCATTTGACACAACTTTTCACTTATTGGAATTCCATTAATGCGAATACGTGATGATACACTAATGTGTCAATAATAAACAACTGCATGCTCTAATTTATCTTATTTTACTTCACCTTATTTTTATAATAAATTAGAGATTCTTTACTTTGCTTTACTTTACTTTTTCAAAGCAAAATAAACATAAAGTGACAGCTTTATTCTTGATAGAGGTCTCATAGTGATGAATTTTGCCATGTCTGCCTTTCAATTACTTTTCTATTTCAACAAGCTGGTCGTTTGAAACGTGAATTTTCAAACTCACAGACAGAAAAAAAAAACGTTGATTCCAGTAAAACGTAAATATCTTTTGTAAATAAACGATTTCTCATCCATCCTACGATCGATCATTCGTCTTTTACGAGATATCTGTATTTTCATAATACTCGAGATTTTTATTCTAGTAAAACTCGAATACCATCCAGTTTTTATTTAGATCTTGTTTCAATGATAAATAATCAATATAATGAAGAACAAACATTTCTTGATCATTCTAATGATCATTGTGTATCACCCTCAATGGATAATGAAACAATGTCACGTTGTTTAAAAATTCAACGAAATTTTAAACGTTTTTATTTCGCAACAAAACTTCGTTCATCATGGATACGAATTCTTTTATATATTTGTCTTTTTATTATCTATTCCATACTTATTATAAATATCTATGATTATT